GTTCTTCTGTCCTCTGAGAATGCCTCTTTCTTCTGCCAGGTTGAGAGCACTTATGCCTTGGTGTCTTTGTCTCTTTCTTTCCCTCCAGTCTGCCTTGCCTTGCTGTTTCACTGTTGAGGGTGATGCTGAATTTCACTAACCTCGGATGCTGTCATCTGTGTAGCTCCACCGCCTGAGCAAGGGAAAGCAGTGGAGCTTGTGAGGCAGGCTAGCAAGCTCCTGACGGCAGTGTCGGGCGATTTGATTTGTTCTTCTGCCTTCTCTCCCTGCGTTTCCTCTGTCTGCAGTTAAATCCATGACTTTAATTGTTTCCTTGCAGCTTTAATTCTGAGGTACACTGATGTACATTTTCTCTATTTTCAGTGATTAGCAGTTAAGTGTTGTTGCATTTCATAGCCTTGTTGACAGATTAGTTTTGGATTTTCATATTTTAGACAGCATTTACACTACATTAATTTTAATACTCATTTAATCATATACTATAAACTGGAACACTTACTATAAAATAAATCCTTTAAACACTTCATTAATAATATAACAGCTGATAAGACTGAACTATTTAATTCTAAACTTAGTTTAACTATCTCATTATTGTAACCCTTTTTCTTAACATATTTTGAAGAATTTTATTTGGTTCTATTTTTTCCCCAAGTTTGCCTTAAATTTTTTTGTAGGAACTATTTTGTTCATTTGTTAAATTACCTTGTCAGATTCTGTTCTAGATAAAGAATTGCATATTTTTACATATCTTCAAGGCTAGAAAGTGAGTTTTTAATTCTAGCAAAATTATGCATCAGTTACATTAAAATATGAAGTATAGCTTCTTCTGTTTATTGTTCTCATTTGTATACATAAAATACTCTCAAGTCGTCTAATATTTTTGTTCTTTCTTACTAATAGAAGCATTATGTTGCCTACCAAAACCGTTTTTGTTTCCTATTCCTTTTGAATACAGCTGACTGGTCTGTAATTACCGAGTGCTGTGAATCCTGGCCCTGCAGAGCACGGTGACGGAGAGTAGGGAGCGGCTGCAGTCTGAAGTGTGGGGTCTGTCTAAACAGGCAGCCTGATGCTGTGGCAGCTTAGGGGTGGCTGGGGAAACAGAGCCTGACAGACTGCATGTAACATGAGGGCCGGCTTGTTGGGGTATCTGTCCCGCCCGGCACCCCAACAAGTCGGCAAACCCCAAAGAAAACCAATCACACAGAGATCTCTATAAGTTATAAACTGATTGGCCCATTAGGTCAGGCTTCTTGTTAACTCTTATAACTTATGTTACCCCATTATTCTTATCTACGTTAGCCACATGGGCTTAGTACCTTTCTCAGTGTGACAGCTTACATGTTGCCTCTTCGGTGGTCTGCGCAGGAGTGGCCGAGGAACCTCCCTGCTTCCCAGAATTCTCCTGTTCTCATTGCATCACCTCTACTTCCTGTCTGGTTTTCCCACCTATACTGCCTGCCTGGCCAATCAGCGTTTTATTAAAATATGATTGACAGGATACAGACAATTCTCTCACATTATTTCCCTCTTTTTTTTTTTAAACAAAGGAAAATACCCATAGTCCATTTGTTGGGAATGTGGGCGTAGTATTTCTGGCTACTTCCTGCTGGTTGGGGGCACTGATAATCAAATGGGGACCTAAAGAAAATTTAGAGTTATAATCAAGTCCTGACTAGAGTATCCTGTGAGTATTGATCATCTCAGGCAGCAGTCTTGAATCTGTTCTGGATGTGGAACTATGTCATCTAGGTCCTCTATTCCTCTCGGAGATTTTCAGGTGGCCTCCCTTGGTCAAAGGTGATTTTTCTTAACTCTGAATAAATCCAGAGCCTCTCATTTTCTGTGGAAACAAAAGCAAAATCTCTTCTCCAAAGTAACATACCATTTGACTTCAAATTTGAAACCAAGGTATTTTCAAAATACCTATCTTGGGTTAGTTCAGCAGCATTTATAAACAAAAGTCTTATAGCAACTGTTGCTCCTTCCTCAGCATTCAAACAATTCAAAGAGAGCATAATAACACACAGTATCAAGATTCTCTGTGTGTTTTCCATCTTTATGCGGCGTTATTTCAACCTCTCTTTTATTTTTACTTTTAACTTTTGGCTTTTTGAGACGGGTTCTCTGTATATATCTTTGTCCTGGAATAACTCTGTAGACCAGGCTGTCCTTGAACTCACAGAGATCCCTCCGCCTCTGCCTCCCAGGCATTGGGATTAAAGGTGTGTACCACCACACTTTGAGGTCACAGAGGTCAATCTACCTCTGCCCCTTGAAGTCACAGAGGTCAATATGCCTCTCTGCCTCTCAGGCATTGGGATTAAAGGTGTGTACCACCACACCCTATTTCTCCCTTTCTTTCTTTTTTATTTTTAATAACTTTAACCTTTAGCCTGCATATATTTTTAACACAGTGTAAACCAGTTAGAGGTTTTCTTTCTCTTTGAATCTCTCTTTACTGTATATCTCTCTTTTTCTGACTACATAAGCCTTTAATTTACTAAGCAATATGGAGAGCCGTGGCTTTGACGACTAGTTCCAGCTCATTTTTTAACTTTTCAGCCTCATGGCTGAGATACCAGCCAGAGCTGTGTTCACTGCCACAACTCTATGGCGTTTCAAGGTCCTTGCTAGCAAGCAAGCTGCAGCATTCTGCTCACAGACCACACTCAGTCGGACTGCCTGCCTGAAAGAGTCAGAGTTTGCCCTGGCAGGACAGTCCAGAAAGCCGGCATTTTAAAACAGTGCACCTTTTTTTCCTGCTACGATTGAAAACCGAAAAGCATGCATTCAGATTTTTCTAAACACAGTTTAAGTGTTTAGTGGCAGGACCTCTTAAAAGAGCTGCAAAGTTTTGCAGCTAAAGCTGAATTAGGAAGCCTCTCTTAGATGAGAGTGCTTGCTTGCCTCTAGCAAGCAGAGCAGACCCGAGAAATTGCTGCTACCAAGAAAACATGCTGTACTCTATTCTTTCCCAAACTTTCTCAAGCTTTCTGTGGACTCAGTTATCCACGTTGGGCGCCATCTGTAACATGAGGGCCGGCTTGTTGGGGTATCTATCCCGCCCGGCACCCCAACAAGTCGGCAAACCCCAAAGAAAACCAATCACACAGAGATCTCTATAAGTTATAAAGCTGATTGGCCCATTAGGTCAGGCTTCTTGTTAACTCTTATAACTTATGTTACCCCATTATTCTTATCTACGTTAGCACATGGGCTCAGTACCTTTCTCAGTGTGACAGCTTACATGTTGCCTCTTCGGTGGTCTGCGCAGGAGTGGCAGAGGAACCTCCCTGCTTCCCAGAATTCTCCTGTTCTCATTGCATCACCTCTACTTCCTGTCTGGTTTTCCCACCTATACTGCCTGCCTGGCCAATCAGCGTTTTATTAAAATATGATTGACAGGATACAGACAATTCTCTCACATCAACTGCACATGCAGCAGCTGCCTCAACAGTTTGAGTGAGCTCAGGTGTGTTTTTCCCAGGGAGCTCACTAGCTGGGCTGCAAGGAGGGCTATTGTACTGGACTAGGGTGGTGTATCAGGGTATTGGGTTTGGGTGGAGTCCTCCATTGTATGTTCCGTATCTTTTCCTGCCTTTCTAGGTTTCATCCCTGCCCTTCATTTAGGATTGTCATATTAAAGTATGAGGTGCTTCATGTTAGTCCTTCGTGTTCTCTGATGTTGACTGAGTAGATCTCTAGGAAGGAATAGCAGCTGACCTTTGTGTTTATACAGATTGTACTATTCTTATAAATTCATCAAATTTTGAAATTACATTTCTGAGATATTTTTAAATGAAATCACATTTTCCCTTTGGTAATTTTAATAACTTTAAAACAGATGAAAAATTAAAATCATAGGTTTGAAGAGGCTAAATCAAATTTCCAAGGTTGTAGAGATGCAGTGCAAGCTGGAGAGTCCTTGGCCTCAGGTCAGTCTACCTGGTGCTGATGCTGGAGAGCATCAGCATGGTGTTAGTGTTGGTGCCAGTTAAACCCATAAGATGCTACCCTTGATCACTGCATGCATTTGGATTTCTGGCTGAGCTACAAATGGTAGTTTCTAATATTTCTGATTTTGTAATGTTCAATATTTCTTTTTGAATAGTACCAACTGTATTTATTTGTGGTGCTTTGACAAGGTCACCTTGAGGCTGGTATTTTAGATGCCAGTGTCCCCTTTTTAAAAAATTATTTTAATTTTACATACTAGACCCAGTTCCTCCTCCCTCCCCTTCTTCCCCCTCCCCTATTCTATCCCTCATCCATTCCTCAGAGGAGATAAGGCCTCCCTTGGGGAGTCAACAAAGTCTGATATATCAGTTGAAGTGGGACCAAGCCCCTTCCCCCTGTGTGTATCCTTTTAAGGGAGGGAGGTTTGTCAGAGGATTCTGAGTTCCCTTTCCTCGTTTCGTCTCTCTCATTATATTTGCATCGAATGAGTGGAAATGGCCTGTCCTCCATAGGTGATGTGAGCAGCACCACACTGTTGAGGTCCTAAGTGCATTATAGTTCCCATCCTCTACCACCACACAAGTGCGGCTGCCCTCCCTGTCTGCCTCCTAGCAGACTGGATGCTTGCTGCGGGCCTTGCAAAGCGCTGAGTCCCAGAGGTCACTGAGATGGTGTTTTGTTATGTGTGCTCTGACAGATCGTAGAGTACTATTGACGGTAAAACGTGAGTCTGAGGTGTATGCCCGTGACAGGTTCAGGGAGTTACTTGCATTTCTTTTCTTAAACATTTAAGCTCTTCTAGCCTTTCTGGTATTCAAACACCGCAGAATACAATCTGAATTCTTTTTTTCCTCCCTTCAATAGAAAAGCAGTGTTTTAGTGTTTGGCTATTTCCAACTTTTCTGGTTTCTAATTAGCTTGTGTCCTTGGTCAGAGTGGCTCTCAGAAGGTGCATGACTGAAGACACAGGTCATTTGTTTCTGTGTAGATGGATTTTAACAGTTACACATATTATAATTATAACTTTTTTTTTTTTGAAGGAGGAATTCAGGGAGCTTCGAGAACAGCTGAGTGACCCTCAAGTTGAACAAGAGCTAATTAATAGTATCGAGCAAGTCTATTTTTCTGCGGACCCATTTGATATTGTTAAATATGAGCTGGAGGTAAAAAGAAATTTTGATTAAAACACATCTAAAACTTATTTTCTCAGTACATATGAATGAATTTGTGAGATCTGAAGTTTGGAGGGAACTTATACTTTTTAATAACACCAATAGGTCTGTGATTATCACAGTATGAACTTTTAATGAACTGTCAGCCAGTGTTTTGCAGCTCGAGAGTGCTGGCTAGGGAAGCTCGTCTGTGCACTGGGTTTTAATTGCTACTGTGCGGCTTGTTACTTCACTGCTTCTCATCATATTTCCATATTACCTAAACATGTTCAGAAAATACTAGCGAAAATAAAATTTAATTGTTTAAAACTTATATCCTTAGAGAAGCTATGTAGGACTTTTTGTTTGTACACGGGGCCTGACTTGTGTACCTGGCTTCAACTCCTAGGTTTAAGTGACCCTTTGACTTCAACCTCCTGGGTATGCAACTCTAGCTTGCCTAGAACACCAACTCTTTTGATCAGGAATGTGTATTGTGCTAAAAAATCTTCTGTACAAACTGTCTGAATGCTGGCAGTATAAACTTAAGGGGACTCCATAAGAAAAGTCAGAAGAGCAAAATGCATTTAAACGTGGAATCCGTTTCCCAGTATACACAATTTGCTGCCTCAGAGTGCTTCCATCTTCCTGGATGGTCATGGTGGTGCACTCAGGAGGCAGAGACAACAAGATGAGCTTAAGTGTAGCTCAGGTTACATAGTGAGATTTGTCTCAAAATAAATGTTCATCATCCTAAAGCAGCAGCTCCCCAAGCCCTCAGGCTCAGCGGGTAGGAGACTTGCTGTGCAAGCATGTGGGCCTGACTTCAGATCTCAAGCAGCGCATGCGCCTTTAACGTCAGCATTAGTGAGGACAAGTAAATCTGGGGAGCTCTCTGATCAGCTGTCTTCACTGAAATAGCTAACTTGTCGTTCAGTAAGAGACCCTGAAGCAAGAGAGAGAGCTGTGGAAGAAGATACCTGGCATCTTCTGTGGCCTCTGCATGCATCCTCACACTCACTTGAATCTGTACGCCTCTCCTCCCCCCACAATTTAAAACACCAATGAAACAGTCATCACAATAAAGATAATGAATAGTTTCTTTTTTCCTAAAAGTTTTTTGTATTCATTTTTTGTTTTTTGTAAGGTAAAAAATGTCATGTGAAAGTTTGCCTTTCAGTTTGACCTTCATTTGTCATTTTGTTGTTGCAAATTTCACTGAGTTTTCTGTTCATTCTTTGTTTTTAAAAGTTATGATGTCTGTGTAATTTCTTCTACCAAGCAGTTTATAATAACATATGCCATGGTTTATTTTTCTCCAGGATTAAGGAGTCAACACTAGAAATGTTCCTGTCTAGAATCTTGGCATCTTGGACCAATTCAGCCATACATATCCTTGGATCAAGGATATCTTTTCCCCAAGCCTAAAAGACTCTCTGAATGGGGGTTCCAGCATAGCTAGGAGACTTTTGGAATACGTCTATACACACTGGGAACATCCATTGGATGCTCTGAGACACCAAACCAAAATCATATTCAGAAATCTTCTGCAAATGCACCGGCTCACTACAGAAGGGGCAGATTTAGTGACCGACTCTTTCTTCCTGGAATTGACTAAGAGTCTTCTCCAGTTAGAATGGCATATTAAAGGGAAGTATGCATGTCTTGGCTGTTTGGTTGAGAGTATTGGAATTGAGCATATTTTATCAATAGATAGAATAATTCCATCTCAGATCTTAGAGGTGATGGGAGACCAATCATTGGTACCTTATGCAAGTGACCTTTTGGAAACCATGTTTCAGAATCATAAGAGCCATTTGAAGTCCCAGACTGCCACCAATACTTGGATGGATGAATGGCATGAGACTTGGGTTTCTCCTCTCCTTTCTATACTGTGTGGAGGAGACTTGGATCAGAAGTCTTAGGTGATCGATTATTACTTGCCAAGGTTACTGAATTACAGCCCTGAAAGCCTGCAGTACATGGTGAAGATTCTTCAGGCATCGATTGACACTGAAGCTGGTGAGAAATATTTTGTTTTAGTAGTTCTGTTTAAGAGACTTAAGTGTAGGTCCCTGTGCAGATGCTCGTTATCTCCTAGTTTAAATATCTCCCGTCTCCCATTCTGTAAGTGGTAAAGAATGCTGTTAATGATAGCCACTTCAGATGGAAACAGATTAGACTTTCAATACCTAAGTGGTGTTTTTGGCTGAAGTAGTTTCACCGAGCCAAAGAGTGATTCCAGTTACAAAATTTTGTTTCATTTTTTTAAAAAAGATTGATTTTTATGTGTATAAGTTGGTGTGCTTACCTGTCTAGTGTCTGTATGAGCAACACATGTGTGCCTAGTGCCTTTGGTGGTCAGAACAGGCATTGGATCTTTTGGAATGGAGTTCCAGAGAGTTGTGAGCTGCCACATGGGTGCTGGGAATTGAACCTGGGCCCTCTGGGAGAGCAGCCATGCTCTCAACTCCACAGACATCTGCTCCAGCCCCTAGTTACAAGGTTTTAATTTATTATTTTGATCTCAAACTAGAGTAACGGTGTATGTATTTTATATATTTCTTTAATATGTATAATTTTATCCAAATGATTGAAATAGCAATTAAAAATGCTTTAGACTGACTTAATGAAAACAGGTGAGTTTTTCCACAACTTAAAATAAAGAACTATGTAGTTATTTAGAATAGGGGGAATATCCCACTGAAGTGCTAAAGGAATCATGGTTTATAATGAACATATAGCTATATGGGGTGGTATATGTCTTCAATTCATGCATTTGGGAGACAGAAACAGGAGGATTGCTTCCACTTCAAGGCCAGTTTTGTATCCATAGAAGTTCCAGGTAGGCCGTGACTGTATGAAACTCTCTAAATACATAGATAGATAGGTTAAAAATGAATGTGAGGCGATAACCCTGAACAAGGAAATCTCAAAAAATTTCTTAATTTGGCTCTGAGAGGGAATTTTAATTTTGTACACAAAAATAGTGTGTTATTTAATAGTCTTTTACAGATGTTCTTTATGAAGCTGTTCTTCAGTTAGCTTGTGTTTATTCTGTGTAAGGTGTCCTGTGAGCCTCAGCTTCCTGTGCTGTATCAGAGCACAGCTTTGCTAGAGGCTGATGTTCTATTGAAATCAGGAAGCCTTTGTGGCCATGTTTTATGTTCTTTATAAATGAGAGCAACTCTAAAATACATGTTGTGAATCAATGTTTGTTTTCAAGGAAGTTACAGTCTTTGAGCTGGTACAATGTCTCTGCTGTTCCTGTGGGATTGTTTTACTTTTCTCCACTTGATTTTTTTCATCTAATTCACATAATGGTGTATTTTTTTTTGAGATTCAAGACCAAAAGTAAAAGTATTAGAGAATAAGTTTTGATTTCTTTATATTAATAAGATAATTACGCTTACTTGAAATTATTGCATGATATTTTCAGTTATTTTTATTTTAGAATAAGCACTTTAATTGGTCCTAGAATTAGTTTAAAATTTAATGTTAATTGGAACATAGAGAGTTGGCATGACATAGTCATTGCATAGCACAGGAATGATCTTTGCCATTGTGCTTTTAAGATAAGAACGGTCTCTTCCCCTCTTAGGGGCTTGTAATCGCAGAGGGGCTCTGGGAGCTTTGATGGCGTGTCTACGGACAGCTAGAGCTCATGGACATCTTCAGTCTGCAACTCATGCCTGGGAGAGCCTTGTGTGTGGGGCAAGGATAAAGCAAGGCTTAATTCACCAACACTGCCAAGTAAGGAAACTAGTGTTGCACACATTAGTCCCTGCTAACCTGATTCTGTTAGTAGTCCTACTAGTGGCCCCTAAGTTATAGGGGGTCCATTTTGATAGTAGAGGGCGGCATCTTTGTACTCAGTCTATGCAGTGTCTAGTTGAGAACATGGACAAGTTACATGAAGAACCTGCAGCTCTGAGAGACAATGTAGAGTCAGTATGTCTAGTAAGGGGCTTTACCTGAAAGATTTAGAGGAGCCCAGCAGTGTGGTTAGGAAATGGAATGTTAGAACAGTACACAGAATGGAGGCGAAGCTCATATTGGGAGAGCTCCAGAGCTAAACTGATGACTTCGTTGATTCCCAGTTACCAATAGGATGGGCGTGTTCATTGCTTATCAGTACAGTCAGAGATGAAGTTCTGGAATAGGAGCAAAGGAAGCCAGGAGATCAGCTAGTGTGAACTGGATGTGAGCTGTGAAGGCCTGGAGTGAGGTAGCTCTGAGAAGACGAGAGGGGTGGAGCTAAAAGCTATATAAATAAGGCTTTGGCTTGTGAATGTATGTAAGCCTCGGTTTATACATGGAATGACAGTTTTGTAAGCAGTAACTAACTACCAGGTGTTTTGGATTAAGACGCCTCTCTGAGGTATATGTAGGCAACATGAAGTTTAATTTTTGTTTGGTAACTTACATAAATAACACACATAGTTTAGGCTTTTCCTAGTTCTTGGGAAAATTAACATTTTATGGTTTGGTGTATTTCAGGTGCGGATAGATACACTAGGTTTGCTTTGTGAAAGTAACCGGAGCACAGAAGTGGTCTCTCCAGAAGAAATGCAGTGGGTTCAGTTCTTTATCACGTATAATCTCAACAGCCAGTCTCCAGGGGTGCGGCAGCAGATTTGCTCGCTCCTTAAAAAGGTACAATCTTGCATCGGAATGGGAAAGTGTAATTGCTCTAGAAATTGCTGTTTTAACAGGTCCCAGATTTGGGGCAAGTGTGAAATCCTTGTGGTTGGGCTGCCACATTTCTTCATGGGTTCAGTGTCTTGTCCTGAGTTCAGCAAATTTGCATGTGGGATTAAAATACCACACAGGGCCAGGTGGTGCTGGTGCACACCTTTAATCCCAGCAGTTGTGAGACAGAGCCAGATAAATCTCTGTGAGTTCAAGGATGGCTTGGTCTATAGAGCTAGTTCCAAGACAACCAGGGCTACATAGAGAAACCCTATTTCAAAAAACAAACAGAAAATAAAGGTTTTAAAATTTAGGACAGAAAGTTCTTTCATTTGGGTGTTAAAAAAAAAAAATCAACCCTGACCTCTTTACAAGTATAATTTAAAACATTTTATTCATTTACTTAGGGGACAGGTGTATATGTAAGGGTGCAGTTACGGAGGTCAGGAGACAGTTTGCAGGAGTTGGTTCTCCCCATCTGCCATGTGAATCCTGGGAATAGACTTAGGTCATCAGGCTTCGTGGCAGACACCATTACTGAACTATTTCACCAGCCCAAGCTCTTTTTTTGAAAGAAAAAAAAAAAGTCCAGCGTTGGGGTTGTTGGAGCGTGGGCGGTTTGAAGAGAGCGTTAGTGCTGGGACGGCAGCTCTTGCATTTGTGAGCACCTCCGGACTGGTGATTTCATGGTAGCTCACCTTGAGTCATTTGTGTAGCACATCTCTGGTGAGGAACTGGGAAGGTGCAGAAATGACTGCATCATCTCAGCTTCAACCAGTTTAAAGGAAGTGGGAAAACTGGTTTGATTCTGGTTGCAGTAATATGTTGTTTTTGGTAAAACTATAAAATGTTAATTTTATGGCAAAAAGAGACTGCAGATTTCAAGATTTGAAATTTCAGGCACTGCATCCACCTTAAATTATTCCTGCTGGCCTAGGTTTATTGTGTGATTCACATAGTTTTTATTTTTTAAATGTCTTTTTCTCCTTAAAAGTTGTTTTGCAGGATACAAGAAAGTTCTCAAGTACTTTATAAGTTGGAGCAAAGAAAATCCACACTTGACTCAGAGAACCGGTCCAGCAGAGAGCAGCCTCCTGTCTCTTTGCAGCAGTATAAGGTAGGTCATGTGCCGGACACACAGGACTGCAAAAACCAAATACTGTGAGTAAGCACTAGAGGGCAGCAAACAGAAATCTCTTGCTGAATTAGATTTTTCCTCGTCACAATGGGTGTTACATCTTCCTTCTGGGACTGGGTACCCTACTGGAAGGAGCTGTGGTTGGAGAACCAGTGCAATACCTGAACTGTGACAGAATAACCTCTGAGTAGCTTCTTTTCGAGGGGCCAGTTTACTTATTTCTTTGACATTTGTTTAGCTGCTACCTCTAAAGTCCACCTCTTCATTGGGCAGAAGACTCTGCTGAGACTGTGACTCAGATTGACAGCTTTTGTGTGTGTATAACAGACACATAATTTTTGTGTGTATGTGGTCACGAGTACTTGCATGTGGAGGGCAGAGGTAGATATGACCAGTCTCTCCCTTACTTTTTGAGACAGGTCTCTCACAACCCTTGAGCTTGTTTTTTCAGCAACTGGTTGGTAGCGAGCCCTGAGCACCCTCTTCTCTGTGCTCTAGGACTGAGATCACAGGTGTGGGTACATCTAGCTCAGGTCCTCATGTTTGTAGAACAAGCACAGTACCAGCTGACCCATCTTCCCACCCTCCTGTTTTCTATGCCATCCAGAGCCATATAGTGAACTCTGTCTCAAAAATCAAACAATCAAACCATACAAATAAACATCAAAACCAACAAACAAACTAAAACCCCGAACAAGTTGGTTTTGAGGGTTAAATGAGAAAACCACTTGTAAACACTCACTGGGGGCTGAGGAAATGGCTCATCAGGTACAGGGGCTTGCTGCTAGGCCTCATATCTGGAATCCATGTGCAGGCCACACCTGGAATCCATGTGCAGAAATTCTACTCCTGAAAATTGTCTTCTGATTTCCACATGGACACAGTGGCATTTACTGCTCATGTTCGGATACATACATAATAAATAAAATAATAAAAATAAAAAGTCGTACTGGGAACCATAAAAGTGGTTGGGAGTGTATATGGAGCCCCGCCCTATGTGTGAGAGTGATGTGATGTTTATTAGCCTCTCTTAGATCATTGCTGGATTTGAGGAAATAGCTCCTCTGCCTCTTAATGAAAGGAGTGACATGACACTCCTGAGATGTCACCTAAGCCCTTAGGGACAGAAAAGCCTATTGTGTGGATTGAGATTCTAAATTTTCACAAAAGTTTTTCCTTAGATATTCCTTTTTCCCCTCTCTTGAGACAAAGTCTCGCTCTGTAGCCCAGGCTAGCCTAAAACTGTGGTCCTCCTGTCTTCGTTCTGAGAGCTATGAGTATAGTCATGTGTACCATGTCTGACAGACGTATGTTTCTTGAACATTAGAGACTTAATCGAAGTCAATCTTGTGGTTATGATCATTTCTTATAACTGTTAGCAGTCTGTGGCTTTTGGAGGTTGTGAACTTTGCCCTGTTTTACTGTCATCATTCCAGTGGGTACCATGCAGTGTGTGATAAGCCCAGTGCCAATTACAGACCAATGCTGAGGAAGAAGGGGGGCCTAGTTGATAAAGATATCTTTTAGGGTAGTGGAGATGATTTCTTCCTAAATAACCAATCCTAATGTCTAGAGTACTTTCAAACTTATCAAGCAAGCATCATGCACCTATGTTTTCATTTAATCTTTTATAACAGACTGTGGGTTAAGCACTCTTACCCCCATAACAAGTGAGAAACTGAAACTTAAAAAAGTTGAGTGACTCAGCTACTAGAAGTAAAGCCAGTACCCAAGTCTAGATTTGCTCCTGACTGGAAACACCCTAGTAGTGCTTTCCATGGGCTCACCTAAGTGGGGGCTGGTAGATGAGAGAGATTAGGGAGAACTTAGAAGTGAATTCACTTATAAGTAATTACAGCACGTGGAATGCAGAAGTTGAGTAAGACCTGAGTGTGGGAAATGCACAGTAGAGAGTTCCTGTGGTTGGTTATGGAATTTGGAAGTCTTACTAGGAACCATAAGTTAGCTAGACTGGGGATGGAGTCCAGTTGACAGAGTGCTTTCTTAGTGTATATAAGCCATGTGTGAATCCCAGCCTGGGTGTGGGGTCCATAAACGGGGTGTGGTGGCACACGCCTGTTGTCTCAGCACTTAGAAAGTGGAAGCAGGAGAACCAGAAATCGAAGGCCACCCTCTGTCACATAGCAATTAGATCTTTTTATGAACTGTCACAGTTCATTTGGTAGTCTATATTGACTATTTCTTTTTTACTCTAAAACTTTGGAAAGCTGCATACCTCTGATGCCTAAAGGCTTCTGTCTGGAGCAGTGAGGAATTCATGAAACCCTGGCACAGACAGGGCCAGAACAGATCTTTTTTTTTTTCCCTAAAACTATGTTTGTTTTTTTATTGTTGAATCAGTAAAGACAGGTTTTATTAATGTCATGGTGTAGTTTATGCCTTTAGGGTTGTCCATGTTACGTTACTGTATCAAATGCCTGAGGGAAGGTACTTTGGAAAGGATAGGTTATGAAGAGGAATTAGTGGCTAGAAAGATCAAACAGCAGAGGTGAAGGTTCCCTGCCCATGTCATGAGATAACAGAGTGGTGGACACTGTGTGGAAGGAGCATGTGCTAAGGAGTGAAGGCAGAAGAGCAAGCTGAGAGAATAAACCGGTAGTGAAACAGCCGTTCCCACAGAAACTTATAGCTTAACAGTAACCTGATTCACTCCTGGCAGCATTAATCAATTCCTGTGGTTGTATTTCCCTAGACCTAATCACCTCCCACCAGGCCTTGCCTCTTAAGTTTATACTATCCCACTGGGGGGTCAGACTTGAAGCAGATGAGTGTTTAGGGGATAAATTGTCCAAACTCTAGCAGGTGTCAAGCTGAATAATCAAGCAGCTTCTAAAGAGTCTTCTCTCTTTAGTAAATGTAACAAAAGCAATCCTCCTGAAGGGAAACACCTAGCTGCACGTTAACTTCATTATTCTTAACTGTAGTTTGTTTTTAATTTTAGAATTTCATGTCATCTGTTTGCGACATTCTTTTTGAAGCATTGTTTCCTGGATCTTCCTACTCAACAAGGTTTTCAGCTTTAAGCATATTGGGATCAGTAGCAGAAGCGTTTCCTGTCTCAGAAGGTAAGCTTCACCATTGTGTGGGAAACATAAGACTTGACCAGCATTTTGTTGTCTTTCAATAGATCTCTTCTTAATACATAGGTCTCATTTGTACTTAAAGTTGTAATTAAAGTTGCTAGAAAAGGGCAGATGGGAAAGAAACTGTCTCCTCTTTTTGTCAGTCACTGTCTGCTCAGCATATTGTCACGTTGCATGGATCCTCTTGACTTCCTGCACCAACACTTCCCGTACCTCACAATTTGTTTGTGCTGTTATAAGAAGGGGCTTTATCTGTTAAGTTTAAAATGAAAACCACGATGGTTTACCTTATATTTAATAAAAAGATGAAAGAGCCTTTGTGGTTAAAATGTGGTTTCTCATATACGCCATTTGCTTGGAGATTTCTATACCTTCAGAAATCACATGCTATAGTACAAGAAGCAGTGCATGACAACAAATTAAATTATCTACATAAAACGTGCAAGTTGATTCCAGAAAAAGGAAAACTATGAGAAAAAGAATAATTCTATACTTAGTAAAAAGATGGAAACAGATTGAAAGGATTGAAAAAGATTGAAAACTCCTCCTAGCCTCTGGGTATGATAATACATGCTTTTAATCCCCACACTTAAAGGACTGAGACAGGATCTCAAATTAGAAGCCAACCTGCTTTACCTCGTCAAAACCTTGTCTCAAAACAAATACAAAATCAAAAAGTATTCTAACAAAGCAAGGTATGGGACAAGTGACTGATAAATTCCACTAAATATTTATAGTATCCCTTCTCATAGTCTTTCACAAAACTAAAGAGGAGGGATGACCTTCTGATTCATTCTGTGAACTCATAGAAAAGCAAATAAGGCTTGTAGAAGGGTCATCAAGATGGCTCAGTGATTTGCTGCCCAGCCTGCCTATGTGGTAGAAGGAGAGAACTGACTCCCACAGATTATCCTCTGACTTCTACATGTGCACAGTGGCACATAAATAGAATAAAAAAATTTAAAAATAAGGACTCTGCAAGAAAATGGAAGACCAGTATCTCTTATGAATATAGATTCAGAAAACCTCAAGAAACTACTCCAGCAAACAAAATTCATCTGCAGATTAAAAATATTGAACACAGGGCTGGAGAGATGGGTAAGAGCACTTCCTGCCTTTGTAGAAGACCCAGGTTCTATTCTTGGTTCCCACATGGAAACTCCAAACCATCCATGACTCTAATTCCAGGGAATCCATGCTCTCTTTTGATTTCTGTGGGCACTGGAAACATATGTGATACACATGCATATATGTAGACACTCATACACATAAAGTTAAAAAAAAAACTTAAAATGTATGCAGCCAAACGATGGTGGTGCACATTTTTAATTCCAACATTCGAGAGGCAGAGGCAGGTGGATCTTAGTGAGTTTGAGGCCAGCCTGGTCTGCAAAACAAGTTCCAGGACAGCCTGGGCTGTTACAGAAAGAAACCCAGTCTTGAAATTTGAAACAAGAACAAGAAACAAACAACAACAATAACAAAAATGTGTGCTACAACCATGTGGAATTTATCCAGGAATTTGGGGTGGGTCAAAATAAAAAGATCATATAGGATGTCATTGCTTGTCAGTCTGTCAGCTGACTCTAAGACTTTGGATCTTAGGTCAGCAAGTTTTTTAAAAGATTTATTTTTATTATATGTTCATGAATGTTCACCTGTATGTATGTATGTTTGTGTGTCTTCTGTCTTTAGGGTGCCCACCAAGGCCAGAAGACAGCATTGGACTCTTTGAACTGGAGGTGCCGATGGGGGTGAGATACCATGTGGTGCTGGAAACTGAACCTGGGTCTTCTATAAGAGCAGCAAGTGCTCTTAACTACTGAGTCATCTTTCTAGAATCATGAAGATTTTAAAAACTGGGTTTCTAAGTTTATTTGTTCATTTTTATTTTCAAAGTAACTGAGAGATCTTTCATACCCTTTCAAAGGGAATAAAATATTTTTAAGACTTAAAAATGTGTTTTATATTTGTAAAGCTGTAGTACTTACTTTGTCATTTGAAGAGATGCAGTTTATGCTATTGTATAGTGTATGCTGTGTAAAGGATGAAATGAAATTTTATTGTGGGTAAAGTAGGAGGTATGAATTTTGTACTGATCTTATAAAAGTATCTGACCAAGATAACTTTGGGCAGTTGATTTTTTTTTTTTTGGTTCACTCTTAAGTGGTTTTCATTTATTTAAACATTTAAGGTACCATCCAAACAGTGTATCAGCTGAGTCATGACATTGATGCTGGCCGTTTCCAAATACTGATAGAATGTTTTACTAGTACTTCTGAAGAAGTGAAAACCTTAGCATTTGGCCTTCTGATGAAGCTGCCATCAGTAACAGCTGGACAGTTCCAGGTATTTGGATTTACCTATGTAAATGTGCGTGTATGTAGAAATCTTATTTTAACTTAGGTAAAGCGATCAGGATTGTCCTGGGTCTTTGCTTCCTTAGGTCATTTGAGTATTTCTTTCAGTTTCTGTCTGTCTGCTCTAGCAGGAGTGGGAGATGGTAAAAATCCACATCACTGAGCTATACTTTTTAAAACTGCTTTGATGGAAAGGGAGGCGTAGGAGGCAGTAGGTTTGTTGTTTACAAGATTATTGGTAGATTTCAGTTATGTGGTCTCCATAGTTCCCTTGGACTTGTAATATTTGCTCAAAACATATCACTTATGGTAAGTTTGAGGTTTTAAAGATAATCTTCCTGATTATAGACTGAGAAGCTGAGCATCCATGAGGTAGAGAATGTGTTTCTGGTCTTCCTCTAAGTAGTAGCTAAACCGAGACTGAAACCTCAGACTATTTGAGGCTAGCAGCAGTTCTCTGCAGAGGTGCTGGCCCCAGCCCTCTCCCTGACACTGCTTTTCCTGCCTTGGGGTAGGAAATGAAGATGGGATTAGGGGTAAAGGCATGGTATAGGGTAGGTCTGCAGGGACATCCAGCTAGGCACTGTCCTCTTTAACTTGTTCTGGGGATGTGGGGTCACCAGGACCACAGTGAGGGTAGAGTTTTGCCTTCTGTTAGCATTTTCAGAGGCCAAGAGGCTGAGGGGCTAACAGCTGTTAGGTTATATTTAGGGTATGCTGTACAGCTGTTACACCATCTTATAGGTGTGGGATTCAGGGGAGCAGGGTCTACCAAGACAGCATCGTATTGTTGTTTCTGTATCTTTGGTATGGCATCACAGGGTCTCAGGATGTCACTGTTTGTAGGTACACAGGTCTTTCCCCCTTTTCTTCCTGGCGATTTGCAGGGCCGTTTGACTTCTGGCTCCCTGGAGATTCTGCACTAGCACTGGCTTAAGGGTATAGTTTAGAAAGAACTTGGCTCTCTTTTGTTATGGTAATTCCACCTGTAAACAAGGTTCCAGCTACGGGCCCTATACGCCTGCCAGGCCTGGCTCCCCCAGCTGCTTCTGGCCTGAGGTGCCAGGCACCTGTCATCTCTACCACTGCTCCTGATGGGAGGGGGCCGTGCCCTTTTGAACCCTCTTGCCCACTGGTATAAATACCCGACTTGAGTTTAATAAAGTTGCCATTTACTCTTTGGTAAGTGAGCAGGTCTCTTTGCGTGTGTCTGTTTAAACCCTTAGGACAGTCGTCCATTCTCGTGGACTCGACTTCAGGAAAGCGCGCGCCTGAATCGGGCCTGGGTATCCACAGAAAAGTGCGGAGGCAACAACTGTTCTGACTTGGGTCCAGGTTAGGAATGGCTGCCCTGGATCTGGCTGTATCTGTAGTCTTCCAGGTGCCTTAGTGAGCAGAAGGTTCTTTGGTATCCACTGCTAAACTCTTGTGCCCTATAGAGTTTAAAAGTAGACTTTTCTTTTCTTAGTACAGCTTCCCTTACTGTTTATCACATATAGCTTTTTATCATATAGATTAGCTATGCCTCATTCCTTTCAAATAACTTTTGAAAGGACATGGAGTGAGAAGGTAAACTGTAGAAAGAACTGGTTCTTCCTACCTGTGAAGGCCCTGAGAGGACCTCCACATCTTTAATTCCATAAACGTGCACTCATAGATTTAAGAAATTTCTGCCCCGTGTGGTTTAATTTAGGATTTTAGTTATAGTATCTGGCCATTGACATAAACATTTACGATTTTAAAATGAGGCAGGCAAGGTGGCTCCAGTCGGTAAAGATGCCAGTCACCAGCCTTGTAATCTGGGTTTGGTCCCTGACCTCTACGTGGTAGAGGAAGAGAATCAGTTCTTTAAGATATCCTCTGACTTTCATTTGAGCACCATAGTGTGTGCAAGTCCATTTCAGGTCACTACTCCCAAATAAATAGATAAATGTAATTTAAATAGAAGAATCAACCCCCTCCTCTTTAAAGAAAGATTTTAAAATATTGGCTATTTATTTCCAAAGTCCTCTATTGTATGTAGTATGTCATTCTTTTGAACAGTGTAAGTTAACATTTAAGTATTCCTTGAGTGCTAGCTGAACCTTTGAGTACCCTGTGTATATAATACATGTTCATGATGGCATGTCTTTCTGATATGTGTCTTTTCTACTCATTTGGTTTTCTACCCATTTCTCTGTGGAGCTGCAAATCTTGTGTATTTATGGTACATTAATATTTTAAGTTTTTGAATTTTATTTTCATTTATTTGTGCCTGTGTGCTACTGGGGTGGTGTGTGTGTGTGTGGTGTGTGTGTGTGTGTGTGTGGTGTGTGTGGTGTGTGTGTGTGTGTGTGTGTGTGGTGTGTGTGGTGTGTGTGTGCTGTGTGTGTGTGTGTGGTGTATGTGTGTGTGTGTGTGTGTATGTGTGTGTGTGTAGGTCAGAGGACAATCTACAGAAGTTGTTTATCTTTTTCCACCATATGAATTCCAGGGTTCTGATGCAGGTTTTTAGGCTCTGAGCCATCTTTAGGCTTCCTTGTATTAATATTTTGCTCTAAATGGTATAAAAGTATTCTCAGGTTTTTTTTAAGTTTTTTTTTATGAGAAAGTAATTTTATTAAATTATAAAAGTTTCCATTTCCGCCCCTCCTCCCCATACCCTCTCACTCCCCCCACTCCCTCTCCTTCTCCCTCTCCATCCCTAAGAGCAGTCAGGGTTTCCTGCCCTGTGGGAAGTTCAAGTTCCTCCCCCCTCCCTCCAGGTCCAGGAAGGTGAGCATCCAAACAGACTGGATCCCCAAAATCCAGTATATGCAGAGGAAACAAGTCCCAGTGTCATTGTCAATGGCTTTTCAGAAAGACTCCGGGCCAGCCACATTCAGAGAATCCGGCCACATTCAGAGAATCTGGTTGGATCATGTCTTCGTTCAGTCCCAGTCCAACTGGCCTTGGTGAACTCTCATTAGATCCGTCCCCTTGTATCAGTGGGTGATCGCATCCCTCGCAGTCCTGATTTCCTTTTTCATTTTCTTCCTCCTTCTGCTCCTCATTTGGACCTTGGGGGGGGGGGGGCTCAGTCTGGTGCTCCAATGTGGGTCTCCGGTGGTATCGCCATCCATCGTCGGATGAAGGTTCCCTCTGGTCTTGCCTTCTTTGCTCACGTTCTCTTTCCTTCTGCTTCTCGTTTGGACCTAGGGAGTTAAGTCCAGTGTTCCAATGTGGGTCTCTGTCTCTATCTCCATCCATCGCCAGATGAAGGTTCTATGGTGATAAGCAAAATATTCATCAGTATGGTTATGGGCCAAGGCCGGTTCAGGCACCCTCTCCTCTGTCCAGAGAACAATCTGGGGATCTCTCCTTGGACCTGGGATCCCATTTATAATCAAGTCTCCTGTAACTTAAGGTCATGCTCAACCTCCTTAGCGATCAGGGAAATGCAAATCAAAACAACTTTGAGATATCATCTGACACCTGTCAGAATAGCCAAACTCAAAAACACCAATGATAGCATATGCTGGAGAGGATGTGGAATGAGGGGAACACTCATCCATTGTTGGTGGGAATGCAAACTTGTGCAGCCACTGTGGAGATCAAAAAAGTAAATCCACCTGTGGCATCTTGTGACTTTGGAACCAGCTGTCTTATGCCTTTGTCTTATGCTTTTGTCTCATCTGCCTGAATCTAAGACTAAACCTATCTTGAAACTAGCTAGTTTTTCCCCACTTAAAACCATAAAGTCCTAAACCAGCCTTGAAATAATAACCCAGTTTGTTATGTCTCTCTTCCTTCAGTCATCAGATGAAACTCAGGTGAAAACGGGTGTAAAGAGATAAAGAGGATTTGAATCGGAAAGGAAGAAGTCAAACTTTCCTTATTGGCAGATGATATGATAGTGTACATTAGTGACCCCAAAAACACTACCAAAAAACTCCTACAGCTGATAAATACCTTCAGAGATGTGGCAAGTTACAAGATCAACTCCAAAAAATCAGTAGCCCTCCTATACACAAAGGATAGAGAATCAGAGAGGGAAATCAGAGAAACTTCACCTTTCATGATAGCCACAAAGAGCATAAGGTATCTTGGGATAGCTATAACCAAGGAAGTGAAAGATCTATTTGACAAAGAACTTTAAGGTTTTGAAGAAAGAAATTGAAGAGGATACCAGAAGAAGAAATACTTATTATTTACACCCATTTTCACCTGAGTTTCATGTGATGATAACTATATGATTTTCTTTGGGTTCACCTTCTTGTTTAGTTTCTCCAGGATCACGAATTATAGGCTCAATGTCCTTTATTTATGGCTAGAATCCACTTATGAGTGAGTCCATACCATATTCCTCTTTTTGGCTCTGTTTTTATGCCAATACCAAGCTGTTTTCATTAGTGTAGCTCTGTAATAGAGTTTGAAGTCAAGGATGGTAATACCTCCGGAAAGACTTTTATTGTATAGGATATTTTGGCTATTCTGGGTTTTTTGTTTTTCCATATAAACTTGATTATTGTTCTCTCAAGTCTGTGAAGAATTTTGTTGGGATTTTTATGGGGATTACATTGAATCTATAGATTGCTTTTGGTAGAATTGCCATTTTTACTATGTTGATCCTCCCAATCCAGGAGCATTCAATAAGAGTGGGAAATGGTACTCTCAATAAAAGATGACAGCAGGAATGGTGTAAAACTGAGGAAAAAATAAGATTAATGTATTATTGACTCAATTTAGCACCATGAAAAATATCTTGTTTACTATATTGTTTTTGAAGACATTTTAATAGATTATTT